GCAGAGCCAGGTCAAAAGATGTTGGTGGTCTTATAGGACCTGTGGGCTGGGCTTCCTCATGCCTAAAGGAAACATCTGTCGCTCTGTATATACATAGAGATACATATACATATACATATACATATACATATACATATACATATAACATTTCCATGAGTGCTTTCCTTATGTAAAAACACTGAATGTTGTGTTAAACTAATATGTTTAAACACTTGTTAATTCTAAGCAGCAAAGCCATATGACTTTAAACAGTATTTAAGAGACAAGAACTTTTGAATCACACTTTTTCCAATGCCAGCATATAAACTAGATCAGTGACAACTAGAAAAACCCAAATGCATTTGAATGATTATTGAAACTCTGAATCTTTTCCTACCAATTCCGTTCAATTTTAATTCATCTTACTTGTGGAAACAGAGTTCATTTTCTGATGCAAGGCAACCTTAGGACATACTCAGCATTCTTCGAGCTTTTTTGTTCATAGTTGGGGGAAGAAGTTATGTTTCTAGGCCACTGGAATGGACCTATTAAAGTTCAGAGAACCAGCTCAGCTTCTACCTGAGGCAACACCAGGTACTTCAGACATCACTGCCATAAGAATTCTGCCTCAAGTACTGGAAAAATCCTGGAGTAGGTCTAGCGTGGGGAAGTTATTTCAAACTTTATTTCATGATGTTTCTCTCATTGTGTGGATGTTCTTAGTGGAAGAATAAAAATTGTTTTACACTATGACAAGTGGAACTAAACAAAGGGAAATCCACTTATCTCTCTCCAGGCGCCTGGTCTATGTTTATTTCTATCTCACAACATTTTCTAAGAAAAATCAAGTTCAAAACAGAAGGATAGACCAATGGAACAGAATAGAATCTACAGAAATCAATCCAAGCATCTATAACCAACTTATCTTTGACAGAAGAGCTAAGATCAATCCCTGGAGCAAGGACAGTCCCTTCAACAAATGGAGCTGTGAAAACTGAATTTCCATATGCAAAAGGATGAAACTAGACCCCTACCTTACACTTTACACAAAAATCCACTTAAAATGGATCAAACACCTAAATCCACAATCAGATACCATCAATTTACTTGAGAACATTGGCAAAATCCTGCAAGACATTGGCATAGGCAAATACTTCTTGGAAAAGACCCAGATGCACAGGGAGTCAAAGTCAAAATTGAGAAATAAGATTACATAAAGCTGTGACACTTCTGCACTGCAAAAGAAACACTCAGTAAAGTGAAGAGGCAACCAAAAGAATGGGAGAAAATATTTGCAAACTATGCAACTGATAAAGGGTTAGTATCCAGAATCTATGAAGAGATCAAGAAATTCAACAACAACAAAACAATCCAGTTAAGAAATAGCAAAGGACTATTAAGACTATTAAGCAAAAGTTAGTTAAGAAGGGGCAAAGGACCTGAGCAGGCATTTTTTCAGAGGAAATTCAAATGGCCAACAGACACTTGAAAAAATGTTCAGGATCCCTAGCCATCAGGGAAATGCAAATCAAAACCACAATGAGGTTTCACCTCACCCCGGTTAGAATGGCTCTCATACAGGAGTCAACAAAAGAACATTGCTGGTGAGGATATGGAGGAAAAGGTACCCTAATCCACTGTTGATGGGAATGTAAATGGATGCACGCTGTGGAAGGCAGTACGGAGATACCTCAGAAATCTGAATATAGTCCTACCATATGGCCCAGCCATCCCACTACTGGGAATTTACCCAAAGGAAATGAAATCAGCGTAGGAAAGGGTTATCTGTACCCCATGTTTATTGAGCTCAATTCACAATAGCTAAGATATGGAATCAACCCAGATGTGCATCAACTGAAGACTGGATAAAGAAATTATGGTGTATGTACATTACAGAGTTGTATTCAGTTGTAAAAACAAAAACATGAAATGATTTCTTTTGCCACAAAAGAGATGCAACTGGAAACCATTATACTTAGTGAAATAAGCCAGTCCTAAAAAGACAGGTATCATATGTTTTCCCTGATGAGGAGTAATTAATAGAGTATCTAAAATATAATGTATTGGAGTGAAACATACATTTTGAGATTTGATGATTGTTTACAGCCCTTGTCTCTCTGGTTGAAGAACAGTGGTTTTGGTTTTTTTTTTTTCTTCATACTATTTGTTGAGCTCTTTTACTTAGTGTAGGGCAAATCTTACAATCATTAAGTAAACTGAAAATAGATCTCTGTAGAAATTAAGAGTGGGAATGGGAGAGGGAGAAGGAAGAAGGGTTGGAGCGTGGGTGAAAGGGAGTGTTGGGGAGGGAAGTGTCACTATGTTCCTAAATCTGTATCTATGAAATGGAGGAAACTTGTATAACTTAAATATTTTTTTAAAAAAATAATAAAATGAAGTTCATTATGATGAAATTTTTTGAAATCCATTCATATGCAATTTCTTTAAAAAGTTTCTATAGAAAATATGTATTATCAAAAAACTGCATGGGTTTCATCTTCTGCACCAAGATAATCATGTCCTTTAATTCAAAAAAGTGAAATAAAATGAAAACATTTCTTTCTTAAACAATAGTAAGTTCAGTGGTAATAAGTACTTTATGCTTCCTTAAATGCATATGAAAAAGATTTTTATCAGTATTAACGAACCAAAACATACAGTTTTAGAAAATTCCAACTCTGCCACTTTGCCTGCCAACCTGAACTTCCTTTTTATTATTCATCTGTTCCCTATTCATTATAAGTAGGACCCAATTATCCTTATCTCTACTTCTTAATGGTTAATATGAGTAGAAGGATTTCCACATTAATGTTAGAATTCATATAGTTTCTATATTTATCTGTAATATGTTAGCTATTCTGTAAGTGATATAATTAGGAATCATAGTGACTAACTTGTACAACCTGAATAACTAAGTTAGAAAATATTCATGCCTAATTTTTAAAAAACCTTGAATGTAACAACAAAATCTGAGAGATTATTACTACTTCTCTTCTAGAATCCCACAGTGCTCTGAAATATTGCCACAGGAATCAGATACCATGGTATAATCTCCACTTACATGTATTACAGAACTCACAAAGCAGAACCACTAATGCACCTGTTTTCATCTGAAACTATTTACAAACCACTACTTCTTTCAGATAATGCTAGAGAGTTTACAATAACAGGCCAGAAATCCATATTAACAGCGAGAAATATCCCTCATGACAGCAAAGAACCTGCAATGTAGTAAAAATAAACCCAGATCTTTGGGACAAAAAGTCTCTTTGTGACCAATCATATCATTTATGTGCACAAGGATTTTCAATTTTCCCTGATTCTTTTGTCAATGTTAATCAATAAAACAGTAAATGATGAGCTTCAACAACTTAGCAACAAACCACAAATTATTAATGTTTTCTTTAGAAAACACAAGATAAAATTTAATGTAACTGTAGTCAGACATGCCATTTCATATTATCTTTTTTTGACAGGAAGAGTGGAGATATATATATATATATATATATATATATAGAGAGAGAGAGAGAGAGAGAGAGAGAGAAAGGTCTTCCTTTGCCGTTGGTTCACCCTCCAATGGCTGCCACGGCCAGCGCACTGCACTGATCTGAAGCCAGGAGCCAGGTGCTTCCTCCTGGTCTCCCATGCAGGTGCAGGGCCCAAGCACTTGGGCCATCCTCCACTGCACTCCCGGGCCTTAGCAGAGAGCTGGCCTGGAAGAGGGGCAACTGGGACAGAATCCGGCACCCAGACCAGGACTAGAACTCGATGTGCCGGCGCCGCAGGTGGAGGATTAGCCTATTGAGCCGTGGCGCCAGCTTCATGCTATCTTTTAAAAAGCCAGTCCTTTAATTATTATTTTTATCCCAAATTTTCAGAGATTAGACAAAGGAAAAGTAATGATAATAGGAAAAATATATACCACTGGTGTAAATATTGACATGTGTTTACATGTGTTTATTCTCAACTCAAAATCAATTCAAAGAGGATTATCTAAGATGTGATATAACAAGACTTGGAGTTTTTCACATATCCTGATTAGTATAGTTTTGTAAATCACTCTCCTGTAAGATACTAGATTTAGTCACTTTGTTAATTTTGAAGAAATAAATTTACTTCATTTTTAAAATGACAATTATAAAAATAAAACCTTCACATAAATCTTTTTCTACCTACATTTCCTTCCTCATCTCTTCCTATATTTAATATGCACAAAGATAGAAATGCTTTGTAAGAATACCTTGCAATTTTAAATTAAGTTCAAGTCACAGGTTATAGTGCAGTGACATAAATGCAAAAATTTTATGGCTTTACTGTTAAAATAAATTCAAAATGCATTTAAAAATTTAATCTTAGAGCATTAATCTAGGTAAGTTTCCATTTTATAATTCTCTTTTTTTCTTAGTTTTGAAATACAATTCATAACAGATTCATACTTGAAAAATTAAAATAATATAAGGAATAAAATATGATTTTTATTCAAATCCACTTTACACCACTTCCACTTTAATCTACCCCTTTTAGTAGCTTGAGTATTCATTCATGATTTCTCCATAAAGCTACAATAAGACATGAATTTTATGTTTGTATCATTATTGCCCTCATGGTGTTCCACAGTTTGCCTAAGGCCACTCAAGTGAGTCAAGTGTCACCGTGACTTTCAACTTGGGCCGCCTGATTTCAAATCCAGATGTTTCACTGCAGCCATCTTATTGCTCCTCATGTGTGGATGGATTTTTTTTAAGTGACCTTAGTATCATTTGCATGATTTTAATTGTGGACATCTTCCAATTCATGCAGACACATCAATGGCATCTAGTATTATGATCATTACACTACAGCTTAATTACTGATCTTCAAAAATCACTGTTCTTCCTCCTGCATCATTTCTCAGGAGATCTATCTTTAAATATTTCGGCCAGTGTCAGAAGAGGGAAAGACCAAGACAGTGAGAGAGGGCAGAGCTGCTCCTGCAGGATCCCCTCCTACATCCATCACTCTCTCATGCCACCAAAGCTTACCTTTCCTTTGCTGATGATAAAGAAGGTGTCTCCTCTTGCACCTTGTCTGATAATATATTCCCCATTTTCATAGTGGGTCTGAAATACAGAAACAATACCAGAAAAAATTAAGGAAGGAGTCATTTACCAAACAGTTAAACCTTTTCAAATATCAACTCCAGGTATGCATTTATCCAGGTGGAATTTTACCCAAACTCAGCAACAGACAATAAACACCATAATGACAAAGATGTCACATCTGTAATGCTCATGGTAAAAATTAGTTTTTTGCTAACCATGGTTATCCTATTGTGCTACAGAACATTAGAAGTTATTCCTCATATTCATTTACGCTTCTATACTTATTTGCCATCCTGTCTCCATCCCTTCTTCCCTCATACCCCTCCCAGGTGCTAATAACCACCACTCTATTCTCCCCTTGAGATCAATTTTTTAGCTACCACGTATATGAGGGACAGCCTGCATTATTTGTTTTTCTGTACCTGACTTATTTGACTAAACAATACCCTCCAATCCCATCCATGTTATTGCAAATGGCAGCATTTCACACTTTATGAATAAATAGTATTTCCTTGTATGTATAAACCATCATTATCCATTCATCCATTGATGAACACCTATGTTGCCTATTTCCAAAAAGACAGTATGGAGAATTTTTAATATTCCTAACATCAAGAGATGATAAATGCATAAAGTGATGGATAAGTCATTTATGCTGATCACATGTATGGATGAATCATACTATACTCCATAAGTATGCAAATCAGTCTGCATCAATTAAAAACAAATATATTTTAAAATAAATAATAAAACATCTTAATGTCACTTTCTGGGTTATTATATTTATAACTCTAAATTCATTCATTTCAATTGCTCGAGGAAAATATTCTTTCCCATAAACTGAGGATGAAATAAAACAATACGATGGCTAAGGAAACTTGTTGTTTATTATTTTGTCATTCTGCATTTGGTTGGGTTTAGTACTCTCATCTAATACCTTCCTTAGAAATTACTGTGGTATCTAGAGATCTTTATTTGAAATTGTGTTGATTTTTAGTGTGGGTTAGTTGGCCCTAGATACTTTTTAGGGCACTATTTCATGCTTTAATGTCCTTGCTGGAGTAATTTAGATTTGGCCCTGTCAAACAGAATGTCTTAATTTTATAGGTTGAATTCTGGTCCAGCATCTGTAAGCTCATAAACCACTAAATGCAAATGAGGTGTCAGGTAAGGCTGCGAAAAGCTTATCACAGTCAACGGTCAGTACTCTAACTCAGACCTCCCCACAAGGTCCATTCCCAGGGGGAAGATTATTCCTCCATAAGGACAGGCGGCAGAAAGCATACTGTTAGGTGAGGAGGAGAAACAATGTGATGGCACCACCTGGCCCTGGCCCTGGCCCTCTCTGAAACTCAGTAGTAGAGCAAGTCTTGGGACAGAAAGCATGACCCAGCACATTGCTTGGGAAAGAGACTTCATGGTTTACACACAACGTCCCTTAGGCCAATAGCTGGTTATTCATCTTTGTACGTCAGTACCACTCTTCTTAGCAGTTTATTTACTCCTAATACTTGACACTGAAAATATGCATTATTTTCTTTATATAGTTAGAAAGATTACTGGCTACCCAGTCTGTTATTTTTTTCACTCAATAGTAAATAAATATCCCAGTAACTAGACTTTTTTAAATAAAAAACTTCTTCCCAATTCTCCTCTCTCAATCTCAACCAACAAAGAGTCTGGAATGTACCTTTCAAGACATTTTTTCCTATGTTGTAAATGCACCACTTGTTTCAAACCAGGCTTTTAAAAAAAAAAATGAGATGCACTTTTCATGAACTTTTTGACTTTTTGAATGCCCTCATCTACAATGATTTCAAAATATTTTTTCAGCAAAGTAAACTATATTAATTTCATTTTTGTGAACTATTGAAGTCTTTTCATATATCCATACAACTACTTTCAAATAAAATGACAATTATAGAATATACATTCTTAAACTGGTTTATTCCATTTAACAAGGCATTAATGTTCGTCAGATCTCATTGCATTTGAATGGGAAGATCTTTGTAACATGCAGATTTGAAACACAAAATTACAATAGTCCACTTTCATTTATTCATTCAAGAAAAAATTTTTTAAACTTTTTTTCTTTTCATTTGACAGGCAGAGATATAGATAATGAGAGAGAGAGACAGAGAGAAAGGTTTCCTTCCATTGGTCCACCCCCCAAATGGCCACTACGGCCGGCACGCTGCACCAATCCGAAGCCAGGAGCTTGGTCTCCTACACGGGTGCAGGGCCCAAGCACCTGGGCCATCCTCCACTGCCTTCTCAGCCCACAGCAGAGAGCTGGACTGGAAGAGGAGCAACCGGGACTAGAACCTGGCACCCATATGGGATGCTGGCACCGCAGGTTGAGGTTTAACCAAGTGAGCCATGGCGCTGGCTCCCTCAAGAAACTCTTAAGTCCCTCTGAGACAGGCCTTCTTATAGGCACTGATAACAAAAGATAAATCAGAATTTCACAATAGAACCACCTAGGACATCCTCAATGATGAAAACACTCGCTGCCTCCACTGTCCAGTAGAGTAGCAACTAGCTACACAGGGCTCTGCAACACCAGAAATCTACCCACTGTGACTGTGACAGAGACACTGACTGTGCAACCTTCAAGAATTTTCATTAATTTGAATTTAAATGATCACACCCAGCTAGTAGCTGCTGAATTGGATACCTCAGGTAGTAGCTAAAACTGCTAAGAGTTGTCATTTGCAGCAGCTGGGCAAGGGGAAGGGGAGGAGGAGCTTATTCCCACTCCTGATGTTTGTTTCTGTGCAAATGGAACGCAGTAAAACCAGGACCTCCTCTTAGTCCTTCTTTCTCAGGGTGCACCCGCAGAGACCATACAACTTCTCTGAAGCTTTGGGAAGTGATCAGCCAGGTGTGTTCACTTCAGCTTCTCATCTCTTCCTGGTGTTGTCCACTGCTTCTCCACACCACAGTGGAGTCCTCCCCAGTCTGGGCATCTGTGACAAGCGAGGTAAATCTGCCCTACTAGAGAGTTAGGTTTAGAAAGTTCATTTGGATCCTACATCTAAGTTACATCCTCTACCCTGGAATTTCAATATTTTAGCCTCACTTATCTTTTTATAAAATTATCTATTTATTGTATTTGAAAGGCAGAGAGAGGCCGGCGCCACGGCTCATTAGGCTAATCCTCCGCCTTGCGGCACCGGCACACCGGGTTCTAGTCCTGGTCGGGGCGCCGGATTCTGTCCCGGTTGCCCCTCTTCCAGGCCAGCTCTCTGCTGTGGCCAGGGAGTGCAGTGGAGGATGGCCCAAGTGCTTGGGGCCTGCACCCCATGGGAGACCAGGATAAGTACCTGGCTCCTGCCATTGGATCAGCGTGGATCAACGGCAAAGGAAGACCTTTCTCTGTCTCTCTCTCACTGTCCACTCTGCCTGTCAAAAAAAAAAAAAAAAAAAAAGGGCAGAGAGAGAGTGAGAAACACATGCCAGGAGCTTAATCTGACTCTGACATGGGTGGTGGGGACTCAGGTACTTGAGCCATCACTATGGCCTCCTAGAGTGTGCATTAGAAGGAAGCTGGAATTGGGAGCAGAGCTGGGACTAGAACTCATGCATTCCAATATGGGATTTGAGCATCCCAAAGAATGTGTTAAATGCTTTGCCAAATATCCACGCTAGGCTCACTTATCTTATACTTTGTCTTGTTTCTCACATGGTTCCCAACGGAAGACTGTGTAAAAATCCCACAGTAACCCTGTAAGCACACTGCTCTGTTCTATGTAAGTACAGGGTGATAAGAGCCTAGACTGGGGGGAAGGAACTCTTCGCAAGGCTTCTGCTTCATGGAGGATTCTAGAGCCCCACTGAGGATGGGGGAGGCTTCCCTGGGTGTCCAGCCGCAGACACCCAGCAAAGAGAATAAGCAGCTCTTGTGGACACACATTACTGGGAAATTAGAAACACTTTGGATGAAGTAGAAAAATGCTACTAAAAAGCACTAAAGTTTGAAGAATTCTCAGCCCATCTGGGCTCACGCCCTTCATTATTTCCATTTAAAAAGCAGATCCTTACACGTGTGATAGTTTTCTTCTTTCAGAAAGCAAAATTATTTGTAAAATATATTTATAAATATAAAGGGAAAGGTGTCATCACTTCAGTGCCATTGAGATTTTAAGATGGTTAATTCTTCTATGTAGGAAGCCGTCTTGCAGAACTAGTTCTGCCCTGGAATGTTTAGCAGCATCCCTGGTCTCTACTGCTGGAAGCCAGGAGCACTTGGACCGCATTTGTGGAAACCATCAGTATCTCCAGACATTGTCAATTACCCTGCTGGGGCAAAACTTCCTTTATTCGAGATTGACTGTTCATAAATGTTTCATATTTGTAATCTCTTCATTTTATTTTTATTATTTTTAAGATGAATTTATTTGTTTGACAGGCAGAGTTATGGAGAGAAAGGGAGACAGAGATCTTCCATCTGCTGATTCACTCTCCAAATAGCTGCAACACCCAGGAGCTGGGCCGGACTAAAACCAAGAGCCTGGAACTCTATTCTGGTCTCTCCTATGGGTAGCAAGGGCTCAGACACTTCGGCCATCTTCCCCTCTGCTTTCCTAAGCAGGGGGCTGGATCAGAAGTGGAGCACCTAGGACTGCAATTGGCACTTCTATGGGCTGCCTATGTTGCAGACAGTGGCTTAACACACTGAGTCATGATGCCAGCCCCTAATGTCTTCATTTTAGGGAGTTGAACGTTTGGCAGGAATATCTGAACATGATTGAGTCATTTAATTCACAGAAGTTACCTAATCACCTTTCTAATGTCATCTGACAGAGATTTTTGTACCTCAGCACCCATAATTGCCATATCAATTATCTCAGTTTACCCACACAGGCACTCACGGAGCATATTTCCATGCTGCATAAACTCATAAAACCCCAGAGTCCAGTGAGGAGCCTATGGGATAGAGGCCAAAGGCATTCCAGGTTAGAAGAGGTAATTTTGATAGTGTCATAACACTAGGACTATAATGACTGTGCTATCCT